TCTGTTCCAGCGTGTGCACTTGTTTCTCTCCTTTCTTCAGTTCCTGAGCCCATCATGCTGGCATTGGGTGAGGCTTTTTGGGCCTTCTCTGCTTCCCCACTCAGGTGGCCAAATCCACCCACGAGCTGCGCTCGGTCCTGGGATTCAAGGAGCCTGTGTTATGCGAATGCATGGAGGTTGGAGGCGCTCGGTGGCCTCCAACAGTTCCTGCTCCGCCAGACGCCGCGGCCGCTCACCCTGCTCAGCGCAGCCCGCCAGCTCCTCCAGCTCAGAGGCCAACAGCGCAGCCCAGCGCTCCTAGGCCTGCGCCTGCTCTCCGGAGCTCAGCCCCACCAGCTGCTGCTCGCTCATCCCGCCCCTGCCTGCTCCCTCCTTCAGGCCAGGCCCTGCAGCAGCCCGTGCGTGGCCGCCCTGGGCCTCGTGGCCTGACCTGGGTAGCGTGGCCCAGCTGCAGCTCCAGGCTCCCCTGAGGTCACTCCGTCCTTTTTTCCTTGAGCCTTCAGTGCTTCCTTTGGCCCCCCGGGTCTCAGGCACCCAAGGGCGAGGGCCTGCAGGGACTGCCACCTGCCCCCCTGGTGTTGTGCCTCAGGTCAGCGCGCTCCTTGTCCTTTCTCTGGCCCAGCTTCTTCCTTGGCCTCCTCCCAGCCCTCCATCCTCTGGTTGAGCGTCGCCCCACACTTGCTCAGCAAGTCCTGTCCCACAAGAGAAGCGCCACCGACAGTCTGCATGTGGAGGAACCTCGTGCCTTATCACCAACTGAGTGTTCTTTCCCAATGTCCACGATGTCATCGTTGCCCCCACTGCCCATCCTTTCTGCCTGAGCTGAGCGTTCCTGAGCGCCTGAAGGAACCTGGTGGAACCAGCACGCTCGGCACTCAATGCCAGCGAGCCCAACTAGCTCTTGGCTTGCCGTCCGTGGGTGTCCTGAAGCGGGGAGCCGGCGCCCTCCTTTGCCAACAGGTGACTTCTCTTCTGTGCGGACATTCATTCTTCCGCAGCCGGCCAAACCCTTTCTGACGAGCAAATACTGCAGGGCCACTGGTCCGACATCTGGGCCCCGCCAGGGGAGAGCACACACTGCCCCTACTGTTGCATCCACCCACCTGTTTCATCTGCGAGTGTGCGAATTGCAAAAGGTTTGGCCACTGGAAGAATGAATGCCCCCACAAGGGAAGTCGGATAGTGCGGCCTGGAACCCCACGAAAGGGGGGAAACAGAGGGCGGGTGCCCCTGGCAAGAGACCAGTGTGCCAATTGCAAAAGGTTTGGCCACTGGAAGAATGAATGTCCGCACAAGAGAAGTCACCTGTTGCAAAGGAGGGCCCCGTTCAGGACAACCCAACAGAAACTGGAAGCCCAAGAGCTAGTGGGGCTCGCTGGCATTGAGTCCGAGTTGGGCCAACCAGGTTCCTTCAGCCCTCAGGAACCCACAGTCAAGATGGAAGTAGGGGGCCAACAGATGACATCTGTGGACACTCAGTTGTGATAAGGCACGAGGTCCTCCACATGCCAGACTGTCCGGTGCCTCTCTTGGGACGGGACTTGCTGAGCCAGTATGAGGCAGACGTCAACCAGAGGACCGAGGAGCTGGAGGAGGCCAAGAAGAAGCTGGCAGAGAAAGACAAGGAGCGCGCTGACCTGAGGCACAACCACCAGGGGGCAGTGGAGTCCCTGCAGGCCTCCCTGGGTGCTGAGACCCGGGCCCACAAGGAAGCACTAAGGCTCAAGAAAAAGATGGAAGGTGACCTCAGGGACCTGGAGCTGCAGCTGGGCCACGCTACCCAGCAGGCCACAGAGGCCCAGGCGGCCACACGGCTGCTGCAGGCCCTGCTGAAGGAGGAGCAGGCAGGGCGGGATGAAGAGCAGTGGCTGGTGGCTGAGCTCCGAGAGCAGGCGCAGGCCCTGGAGCGCTGGGCTGCGCTGTTGGCCTCTGAGCTGGAGGAGCTGCGGGCTGCGCTGAAGCAGGGTGAGCACAGCCGGCGGCTGGCGGAGCAGGAACTGTTGGAGGCCACCGAGCGCCTCAACCTCCTGCATTTGCAGAACACAGGCCTCCTGAACCAGAAGAAGCAGCTCGGGGTGGATTTGGCCCACCTGAGTGGGGAAGCAGAGAAGGCCAAAAAGGCCATCACCAATGCCAGCATGATGGCTGAGGAACTGAAGAAAGAGCAGGACACAAGTGCACACCTGGGATGGAAGACACTGGAACAGACGGTGTGGGAGCTCCAGGCCCGACTTAAGGCTGAACAAGCTGCCCTCAGAGGCGAGAGGCAGGTACCTGTGGGGGTCCTGGTGCTGACTGTGGGCCCTGGCAGAGGCCAGAGGCCTGTCTGTCTAAGCGGCTGGACTCGGTAGTGTTGGGATGGCTGTCTCGGTTGTTGGTCAAGAAGGCAGACTGGCGTGTTTGGGCAGGATGTCCGTGTG